AACCCCGACCACCACTTGGGACTGACAACACAAAGATGCGCTCGTAGACGGCGCAGGTGGTCCAGAGTCGGGGTCGAGCAGATTGAGTATAAGCACTTGATCGAACTAAAGTTCATTACTGTCTCGTCACCTGACATACCCTGTCTCGGCAGATTGGGTACTTCAGAGATGGGCGCGCACCGACCTTTTGGCCTCCCTATGGGTCTGTTAGCTCGCCCATGGGTGCCAAAATGCAGGATTTTTAGCGTTCTGGGAACGTACAACCCAGAAAAGCTGTTAAATCCTTGCTGCAATACATACTGAAAGAATGCTTTCAGCGGGATGTAATGTTCAACTGTGTGAGTGGTCTGATCCCTTGCATCCTCTTCTTTCTCTTTTCCGTTTGGACGTTTGCGATTGGGCCAAAATTATTCCACATAAATTTGCACCAGTTCGGACCCAGTACACTAATTATTTAGTGATTTCGCAACAACATACTGGCACCGTCTTCTGACAAAAACCGCAATAGCTTAGGGAGATGATCTAACAGTACCTGCTTAGTCCGAAAGTACTATAATTTTCCATTTTCGCTTACGTTGTTCTGTGACGTTTCGAGATTTTCTGCTTAAGTATTTGCGGCTTTTTCAGGCTAAAATGACTGCTAGCTTTCTCTTCAGGGAGATTTACTGGTTAAATCTGACCAGAATTCTCTGATAAAATGCCGATTTTAGGGATTGCCTCATGCCTTTACATACATGGTGAGTGAGAACAGAGAATGCGGGTAGATTTATAGTGCTGTAGCGAGTTTATCTCCACCCTGATTCGACTAATCATAATCCTGACTACCAGTTGGGACCGGCAACACAAAGATGCGCTCATACACGGTACAGGTGGCCCAGATACGGCCTCGAACAAATGGATCATAAGCATTTAATTGAACCGAAGTTCATTAGTGTCTCGCCACCTGTCATCCCCTGTCTCTGCAGATTGGGTCTTTAGGCAATCGGGAATGGACACGCACCCGTATGGGTCTGTTAGCTCTCTCATGGGTGCCAAATGTCACGCACAGGGACCCAACTACCAGGCCAAAGTCGGTCAAGTAGTTGGTTGTCTGTTGGTGAGATTTGGCACCTATACGGATATTTTTGTCAGTTCAGTTCAGTTTATTTGAGGGAAAGGCAAGTGTTTAACTTTGAACTTCCTATTTGTTTACATGCCTGCGGCGATATCAAAACAAAAGTGCCTTAGTTTACTGGCGATGCCAACTGACACGAACCAATGCGGTGGAACAAAGGAAAAAAGAGCGGACAGCGAGCGGAGCAAAAAAACTGTCACTCAAGGGAGGACAGTAAGCTTGGTCAAAACGGGGAGGGGATTGTAGCGGTCACGGAGATCATCACCGAAGTGGGGAAGATGCAGCCAGATACTCCCCTGCTGATTGAAGAGTTCACCGACAAAGGGACAAAAAAACAGAAGTACCTGCC